TAGTAATTTAGTCATTTTTATTCGTTTTTTTAATATTTATAATGACTTTATTTGTATTTTATTGTTATGTGCTCTTGTCATTATTATTGTTTTTTTATATTTGTTATTTTAAAAATACATTCAATTAAACATTTAAATACTGTATGGTCATTCATACCCTTAAATAATAAACATCAAAATGACATCAACGACACTAAATATTATTCATTCTCACGTGTCTTGTGACCTCAATGATGTCAAGTCTACCACAATGCACCTTTACACACCATGTACCAACACAATGAAGTCTAGGTTTCTATTGAGGGCAAATTCTGTACACATCAACAGACTTCTGACATTTCTGTACTGAAATTCTCTAAAAGATTATTCCAAAACTAACCAATAATCTCTAACGCTTTCTGTTTCATTCTGAGCAGACGGCCCTTTCCAGGAACAACCAGGTCAGCTTTAACCATCGACAGTGTGCTGAAGACTGGACTGCCACAGGAAGTTAGGTGTGATTACGTTCATTAACTTGAGAATCTGATTAAGAAGTTTATTGAGAGGTTTCTCCACACGTAAAGATCATCAATGAGGCTCTTTTTCACATTTGCACCATCCTTCTAATTCACACTTAGACGATGGATGCAAATCACACCACATCAGTGACCGCAAAACCACAACACTGTACACAAAATTGAGAGACTGGATTATTAAAAAAACATACATTATTTACTAAAGTCTTGGTGTATAAATCATAATATTTCTTTAAATCACAGCACTAAACACCATCTTCCCCTCAGCCATAATCATCACTAGCACTTCAGAGTTGCTGGTCCCAGAAGACCATTTTGTAAATGTCAACGGAATGAAGTAGGACGGCCCAATTACAAGCCCATTTACAGCTTGCTTTGGCAAAACCGCCTCACAGGGACTTGCATGCTTCATAAGATCATTATTATCTTTATGAGGCAAAGGCAAGCAGCAGGGAACAAGCAATAACATGGTAAACTTCAGATTCAGCAGAACAATAGACCCCCTCCGACGAGTCTGAGCAGTTGGGGAGGTGCTCTCCATCGCTGTTTGTTTTTAAAAGAACAATGGTTTGCACCAACAGCTCAAGACGTCCTCAACCAGGACGCACACTTGCAGAGTCACTGGACTTGCTGGGTCTGATGCAAAAACAGCTTTTAATTTTAGTATTGCTTTGATATTTACTGTTTGGTTACTACCAGAAAGCATGACTAAACATGAACTGACATGGGAAATTAAAAGGTGCAGCCGTGTCATGCAGTTTTTGGCATTCCCAGGAGAACAATTCAATTATCTCATAGATTACTTGAGGAAATTCATGAGTTCCCATCACTGGTAAAGAACTATGAGCTATCCACAAAACTGAATTTATATGTATTGTCAGTGAATAATAAGACTATAATTTTAAATGCAATTCAAGTTCAATCAAACAATAGAAAACCAGGGGCTTTTTTCAAAGGGGTGACCTCCACACTGAAAGCTTCACTCGTAAATTGGGATCTGATTTATGACAAGCCAGACATCTGTACCTTTGAGTGGCGCAGAAGGGCTCTGAAGGCCTGATGAAGGGTCTTGAATGGGGGCAACTGAAGGCCTTTTCACTCCAGCCATGGGAAGAGTCAGGGAGAAGTGTTATCTGAACTCTGAAACAGACTCTCAACCCCAGCCACTAAACCTTCAGTCCATTGGTGGCTTGCTGGGGGGCCAGAGTCTTTTCAAAGCAGGACAGAACCCCTTTTACCCCTCAAAGAGACAGATACAAGACCTCAAAGTCATGTCTCAGGATGATGTAACCATAAAATGATTCTGAACAAAATAAAAGTAAAGTAATACGGTGGATTACACTTAAAAGGGATGGTTCACCCAAAAATAGTGCATCCAAAACAACTCAAACAACTGATTTGATATTTTGTCACTATTTTCCACTCAGCTTTTCCGTTTTAATGCAAGTCACGTACGAAAGAATAGGAACTCTTCACGTTCTGTCTATGTGGTATGGTGAGCAAGAATGTTCTCCTGGTTGGTTGGCAGACCAAGTTGGTTGTTTTGAGTTTTGTAAACAAGGAGAGATGCAACCTGTGGCTCAGATTAACTCATCGGGGGGTGAGGCCTGGGAAAGAGAACGCCGGCCAGCCTAATCTCCCTTCCTGACTGAACACAAGCTTAAATGCAATGCTACTACAGTTCTGAGAATGCACTGTCGTTTCCCATTGACAATATTACAAAAGAACACTGGAATTCAACATTTTCTTTGCAAACTTTTCACATGCAATTGCAAGATAGTCTCCTTGTGAGATACAAAGTCACAATTATATTTATATATTTTTCACTATGATGTGGAAACAGGCTTACATAAATTCTCAAGTGAACAGCTTAATAAACTAGACAAATTAGCCTTTTTGGATTTTCTTTAAATGACTCCATACACATGACTGACAGCATGGATGCTATGGCATGTCATGATGGGAGAAAGGTTGGGGGTGGAGTTGTAGCTCGGCAGACAAACTAAGGATCACTGAACAATCAGATGAAAGCAGCCTGGCAGGCGTTGGTCAAATGACAGGCATCTGAAGACAAGTGCAAACAAAGGTCTCTGTCTAACAGTATATGAAAGCCTGAAATAGGAACCCAATGTTCTGTAACACTGAATAATACAAATATCCCATTTATATACTTTTAAAAATCATTTTGAATATCTGCTCACATCAAAAACACTTTTGAGTAAAAACACCAGTAAGCAAAAAAAGAATAAACATTTTTAAACATTCTTATCCATGCCAGGCACTTCCAGCTGACATTATCAGCTGTAAATAACAGACATTTTTCTGCTACAGCTACATGCCGCACTAGAGGTAAGCTTGTCATCAATCTCCTGTCATGTGGCGGGAACAAGTTAAGAACCCTACTGTTAGTCTTGAGTGAATCTTGCTGATGGAATAGGCCTGTCCTGCTGAGTGAATATGTCTAATGTGTACTTTTATTACAATAGAACGATTCATGTTCTTAGCAGATGCATTTCACTATTATGCACAGGGCTTGCACCTATCAGAGAGTTTTTGAAACTTTGCATTGAATTGCATGGTAGCATTCCACATTAGTAAGTCATTTAAAGGGGTCATATGATGTTGCTAAAATGAACATTATTTGGTGTATTTGGTGTAATGCAATGTGTTTATGCGTTTTAAGGTAAAAAAAAACACATCATTTTCCATATAATGTATATTATTGTTTCTCATCTATGCCCCGCCTTTCTCCCCGCCGTCGAATTTTACAAAGCTCATCGGTCTGAAAAAGCGAGGTGTGCTCTGATTGGCCAGCTATCCAGTGCATTGTGATTGGTCGAATGCCTCAAGCGTGTGACGGAAATGTTACACCCCTCACCATACTGTGATGCCGTCTCCCAGCAGGACGAGACAAAACCAATAAAACCCATTACAAATGAGGCATTTGTTGCATCCAGTGGGAACATAATTACGGATTATAATGACTTATACTGTCGCGTATTATTTACGCATTGCGTATCGTGCTGCGTAAACATAAAATCATGTCTGCATTTGTGATTGGAGAAACAACAAGCCTACTCTACACTGCTCAAAACTTGCGTTTGAATCATCAGTGGCAAATTATTTAAATATAAAAAACGTACTTACAGGCTGTGAGTCAGAAGCTCCAGACTGTCCTTGCAAAGTTGGAACTGCCCCACTTTATAGAAACAGCCTTTGTGCCACAGACGCACTGTAGGCTACTGGTTCAGGAAATAGTCCTCATCCTCCATAAAATGCGCAGCACACATCTGAATATTTGGGTTGAACTGTTCTGGAACAGTGTTGTAAATACAACTTAACCACTGATTTCTAGTCGTGTCCTCTTTTGGAAGGCCAAACAAAGTAGTTTCGCTTTCACAACGAAACACACAGCGACTCCACAACATGGCAGCGGAGGCAACAGCAAGAATTAAAGTTACGCCTTCTTTTTTTGCGTGAACATTTGGGCGGCGTTATGCAAATTGTGACATAGACATGTGGGGGTGTGTTAGAATGAGCCGTTTTAGGTAGGAGTGGTTGACTCTTAACTTTTATAAAGAATATCTCTTTGGATTTGAGACTTTAGTCTTTGCAACTTTACAGATCTTCTTTATGCACCAAGAGCTTGTAACACTCCAAAGAGAAAGGAAAAATTGAAATCGCATCATATGACCCCTTTAAGACATAAGTATCTGCTAAAATTGAAAATTGCAACGCAAATAACAATTGTTAAGATCCTATTTCCTCTGTGTAAAATTCACCCACCGAGAGGCTGAAAAGAGGAAACCAATGTACATGTAGCCGTGAAATAAAAGGAACAAAACAAACTGCAAGAACGAAAGAAAAATAGAAAGAAAAAAATCTTTGTCATATCCTCCGACCATTAGTTTTAACCACAAAAAAACCAAACAAAAAAAACAATTTTTTTTATATATATATCTTTATACAATAGGGGTCAGATTTGTGTGTGGGGGGGGGACTTAATAAGCAAAGCAGCTAAAAACATTGATTTACATTTCAAATAAATGTTGTTCTTTTTAACTTTCTTTTTATCAAACAATACTGAAAACAAAAATGATCACAGTTTCCACAAAATACTAAGCAGTGCTGTTTTCAACATTGAATAATATGAAATGAGAAATGTTTCTTGCCAAATAAGCATATTATAATGACTTCTGAAGGACACAGAAGACTGGAGATCTAATGACTGCTACTTTTAATCATTAGTGTACATAATTTTCAACTACAAATGAGTTTCTCAGCCATTTGTTAGAATGAAATGCCTGTGTATCTGATGCTTTATTGACAGAACTGACAGTGTGCACCAACGTCACAAGGCCAAGAGAGTATTAAATCCTCATTAGACCTGACTTCTTGGAATGAAGGAATTAGCGCAATAGCATCCAGCCTGTTCAATTTAAGTTGTTGACCATGTGTTAATACTGAAACATATTCAAAGTAAACCTGAAGCCGCACTTGCCTGTATAATCTGTTTCCCTGGAAACCCATGGAAGTCTCAATCACTGCATGTTACTCACTGGCATAAAATGGTGAGCACCCTTTTCTATATTTGGATGCCAATGCACACAACTGCATAAAACTTTCCAAGTTAAAAGGTATGTTTTGTTGGTCATCTATCAAAAGTTATCACTGAAACGAACATACGTTAAGAAAAGTAGTTTTTCCTAACTTTTTACACTTTAAATTAGTCAAATACTATGAATTACTAAAACTATTTCAAATTCTTGATTTACAGAGTACTTTTCGTTCATGTTTATTTCCTTTTCCTATTACTTTGCAGGTAAAAAACAACAACAACACTTCTACATGTTTGAGACCATTTCAGGTTTGTGATACCAATACTCTTATTAATTCACAACCCATATTCCGACACCATATTCTTGACTGAATAAAATTCTGCACTTTCTTCATGCACTAGATCTGCTACAACACCATCATTTTGGAGAAATATGGGATGCTTTCCACAAAACCATTAATCCAAGAGTCCAAACTCACCGTTGAGCCCATTTGGTATGCTTCTGAGAATATGGTTGGTTGATAGATCATCCATAGACCTCCTGATAGACATGATCTTTCCCTCTGAAGGCTTGTGAATATGGCTGTGGTGGTGATCAGGGCTTCCAGCACTGCCCGTGCTTTTAGCTGCGTTCAAATATCACGTTTTTGTCCTGCTAGACATGTATACGGGAAAATGTGTATATTTATATATAAAATACTTTAAAAACTGTAGGCTACTGATCAATATATTGTGAATAAAAAGGAAACACAACATTGGGATAAAATGCACTAAAATAGTATTTGACATTGATTGAGGAACTTGCTGAATGTTTCTGAAAACATACATAAATAAGAAAGAAAGAAAGAAAGTTTTTTCCACTTGCACGTGTGAATATGATTAGCCGTTAAAGAAATTTGGAGATTCAGATTATACAATTTTGTAAGCTGGTTATGCACATAAAAGTTAAAGTATTAAAAGAATGTTGAAGGATTTCTGAATAAAATGGAAATCTGCACTCATTATTATTATTATTATTATCATTATCATCATCATTATCATTATTTTAGAAATGCACTATCCAGTAATCTAAAATTACTGTGATTGATACATCCTGACCCAGATTCAGGCACGACCTCAACAATAAATTACACCGGAATAATGACCGGAATAATGACAAGTCAATGCCATTGAATTTATGTACATGTACATTTATGTAAATTAACATTAAGATATAAGATACAGAATTGAATTTCATTAGGGCCCCTTGGCCTCTCAGAGAGCACAAACTGTCCATAGGGGCCCATGGCCCCTTGATGCATACAATGCAAGCTACACTCTACAAAAATGCTAGGTTGCATCAACCCAACTTTGGGTCAGATAAAAACAAAAGTTGGGTTAGTCCATTTTTGACCCAAAGTTGGGTTGAAACAACCCAGCATTTTTTATCACTAGGACCATGGCTACTATTTTAGATGTCTAATATAAGCCTACCAAAACACATTTTCATTCACAGTTTTTAATACTACAATGCCCATGTAGATTAAAGTAAGATAAGGGCTCTGCTGCTAGGGGCAACATGGAATAAGGGGTCTCAAAAGACATTTGCCCAGGGGCTTCTCAGTACCATGATCCCCAATTGAAACACATTACCTCATCCAGATAAGATTACAAATAGTTTAATAAGCATAAAAGAACTGTACAACTATTCATTGGCAACGTCACATTACATTTACATTACACATTAAGTATAAAACCAATAATGTGGTGGTATTTATACTACTAAGTACTTGCTTGCACCACTTGAGATGCGTGAATGACACATGATAGGGTTGAAAACAAGCAAACGAGTGGTAGGCATGTTAAAGCCAATAGGAAATAAGTAAAATTCTGGTCCCAAAAGCAGTTCATAATTTGTATGTGAATGTAGCTCCAAAAATAGCCACCAAGCTTTCTGTGAGAATTCAAATGGGGCTTAATTTCGTTAATAATAACTTTCTGTTGCATTTGTTGACCTATTTTTAAACAATGAAGCATGGAAAATTCAAGTGGATATTAAAGACTAGAGCAACATCAGACAATTGCCTATTCATATGTTAATACATCCTGTAATGTAAATTAATGTATAAGAAAATGTAACTATAAAATTATCAGAAATCACTCAAGCCTTTTAAAAGCAGATCCCACTTAATCTGTGTGGGTACTGAATTTGGAGTGTTGTGGTGTGAACACATCGCCATCTAGTGTCTAAAATTACTCGACGCTCACATCAGTAATTGTTACATTGTATCAACATGACATAGCCATTAATTAATCAGCTGAAATAGCAGAAGAGCTGATGAGAGATTCATACAAAAACAAACATAATGCCTGGAACTGAACCAGAGCCTGCAAAGAGCTTGCAGAAAACATTCAAAATGAAAAAATAAACTGCATAATATCAATAGTATCCATGGGAATTCTAGCTTACATAACCTGATTCTATTATTTCATCAGGAAAATAAACTAGAAACAGACAAACTGCACAATAACAGCCATTAACCAGTATGCAGCTACTTTTGTTTCTAAAATGTTTCCAATACAGGGGTTAAAAAGTCATTCAGAGACCCCAAACTCCTTAAACAATACGAGAAATGATTACAAACAAGATTGAAGCTTCATGTCTGCATGCTCATTCATATATATATATATATAAAGATTAAATACAATTAACATTCATACACTCTAAAAACTGCTGGGTTAAATATAACCCAGCGCTGGGTTAAAAAGGGACAAACCCAGTTATTTTTTACCCAGTTATTTTGTTTTGACCCACTGCTGGGTTTGTCCCTTTTTAACCCAGCACATTTTTTAGAGTGTATCTGGTTTGTGCATACACTACGCACAACCAGTTGTCTTATTTGCTTTACATATTTTCATACTTGGGGTCACACTGACTCAAAACATAACAAAAATTTTACTATCCTGGATAATAATCACCTTTCTGAAAAGTTTCACTATACTGGGTTTTAATTAGGTCAGACAAAAAAAAACTGCAGATAGAAAAACATATTTTATTTTGGAAGTACTATTTTATTTATTTTTATTTTAACAGGACACACTGATACACCAAACAGTAAGGAAGTAAAGCTTATTTCAACAGAACATGAGTACAAACTGAAAGTATCCAAGTGCTTGAAATATTACTGGCAAACTATGATTACATAACAGAAAGAACAGATGGAACAAAGATTACTGTTTTGTTTCCGCACATTCAAAGCTAGTGCTCTAAGCCTCCTTTTCTGTTGAGGGGACTTTACTTTCTGTTTGGTTTCTGTAACAACAACTGTTAATTTTAAACCACTATTTTCTCTTCAAATTATGTCAGGGTGTTAGTCTGACCTGACATGAAAACTCAATACACAAATATAATGAATATTTTCTGCAGACATGCACTTTTCAGAAAGTTGATTTGTTCAATTTCACTCCAGCAATTTGAAACATGTTAAGATCATATTTAATGTTAAGTAGGTTTTGGGCTAAAGGGGGGCTTTAAAGGGTTAAACTACACATCAAAGCTGTGGAAATGAGCCAATTTGATCGTTCCTATGGCGAACTCCAACATAACACACGTTTGCAGTTAGACATGAGTTACAGTTGGAGAATTGCGGTTTGGACCTGTGTGTGTCTCACATCTGCTCAGGATGTCAGACACGTCTCGTAACTCAAACATGGAGAAGATGGTTTAGTATGATACAGGTCCAACCGATCTGCGATCCGTGTTTAGTCGCTACACAGTAAATAAGACGTGAATTTGTTTGGAAATGGTTGATAATTAAAATCAGAGCAAAGTGCACGACTACACAAGTCAGCGAGGACACACGCAGAGTAGGCTATCCTCGCCATTGCATAACTTTTACTTCCATGTATCTGAAGTTGGGCGTCAGGATTTAAGCGCTATGTGGTACTTTTGCGATATTTTCGGCCATATATGGCAATCGCCGTTTATTTTGTTTTATTTGTTGGCGTTCTGGGTCGCACCTGCGTTCCTGCATCCGCAGTGTTTGGATTTTAAACCTCCCTTTCAGCCTCAACAAGAACTTCAGTTCTGTCAGATGTATAAATACTTAGGCTGCTGTGACTATGCCAGAGACCAAGAGCTGATGGCAAAATACTATCGGATAATGGAGAACTTCGATTATTTTGGATATTCGAACTGTGCAGCGTATGTTCAAGATCTGCTCTGTCAGGTAAGTTTGGTCGACTGCACAAACCTGAAACTTTTTTGAAACAATTTTTTTTTCTTCTGCTTGTTGCTTGTAAATGTACTCGAACCATTATATGTTCGCCTCTCAACACGTAGCCTACCGCAATTTGCAGCCATAAATTGTAAACGATGGTTCCCAGCAGTCTGGCTGCCAGCGTTGCCATCGAGTTGAAATACTGTTGTTTGGTGAGGGGCCAAATGACGTCGCTAGTAATCACGAGGAATCTCTTTTAGCCGATATGAACAAAACTGAACCAGCAATGGTTAAAAATCCATATACATGACCAGTCATGTAAATGAACGCACAAAGAGCATATTTAAAACAGAAAACTTTTTTTTTGTAGAAACCAAAACAGTCTTTGACTAATTGAATGTATCAGTGATCAATAAAAGTATTAATTTCTTATTAAAAACATATTGTATATATATATATATATATATATACAGGTGTGCGCATAAGAGGTACGCAGGTACGCATGCGCGTCAAAAAAAATGCGCTTCGTAAATAAGTTCAGACTGTGCTCATTTGCGTACCGACATGAACTAACTATCGACTAACTGTAATACTGTTTAAGATTCCTATTCAAACTGAAAGCATAAATCAAAGTTATGTGCTGCCGGTTTTACAGCAAAACGCAAACCTTACATTTCGTTCACTGACGCGCTTCACTCAGCAGCGATATGTAGCAGCGCATATGTTGACTTGCCGGCTTGTAATAAAAGCTTGTTGGTTTTAGGTTTGAAAATGATGAAAATTCATATAAAAATGAAAAAAGTATATAAAAAAAAAAGATAAAAGATAAAAATGTAAATATTAGCATTGTATTTGAAGTGTATTATAAAATAATTGTATTTTTATGTAACATTCACTTTTTATTTAAAAAATATAACAGTATTATTACACTATTTATGATTTTGTTTATTATTTTATTTTAAAATACAAAATAAATAAAGTGCAATAATACTATTATTAATTATTTAATTGTTATGGTTATATTTAATGAGTCACACATTCATATTTCCTGTTGTGAGCTAAATTCGCTACATAACTATAACAATTAAATAATTAATAATAGTATATGTGTATGTGCAGTGAGCACCAAACTAAATCTCCTGGTGCTCTCATGAAACGGACTGCAAAACGTATGTGCACCCCATATATATATATATATATATATGTATATATATATATATGGACTGTATTAATACATACAGTATTCATAACACCATAGCAATTGCTAGCAAACAGGGGTCATATAGGGACTTCTGAAGTGGTTAAAGTGGATGTGGTTTCTCAGACTTGTCAAATTCATTGCTTTGAGGCCATCGCAATTCAGTTACATCCCCCACTTTTCCTGTTTCTTTTCTTCAGGAATGCTCTCCATACGCTGCTCACCTTTTTGATGCCGAAGACCCCAGCACACCCTTACGGACCATACCTGGACTCTGTCCGGACTACTGCTCTCAATTCCATTCCAAGTGCAGATCCTTTCTTACCTTGTTGTCTGACGATCCACGTCTTCCAGAACTTGAGCATGAGCAGCGCAGACTTTGTCAGTACCTCGAGCTGGATGACCCGGATTACTGCTATCCTCATCTGCTGAGCAATGAACGGTTGACTAAAAATCTGGGCCGCACCGCAGCAGATTTTGACGGCTGCTTGCAGCTGTGTTTGGAGGAGGTGGCCAATGGACTTAGAAATCCTCTTGCCATGGTTCATGCCAATGATGGCACGCACAGGTTTTTCATTGCTGAACAAGTTGGCCTGGTCTGGGTATATCTTCCAGATCGATCAAAGCTTGAAAAGCCATTTCTAAACATCACAAAAGCTGTGCTGACATCTCCATGGGAAGGTGACGAAAGAGGCTTTTTGGGACTCACCTTTCACCCTGACTTTAAATACAATAGGAAGCTGTATGTTTACTACTCTGTTGAGGTTGGTATTGATGAGAGAATCCGTATCAGTGAGTTCCGTATCTCTTCTACGGATATGAACGTGGTTGACCACGGTTCAGAAAGGTGAGCGGTTTTTCTTTGACCCTATGCTTTCATATTGAGTTCAGAGTGTCCAATACTCCCTGTGTCTTCATGTCCCCTCAGAATCATTTTGGAGATCGATGAACCTGCTTCTAATCACAATGGTGGACAGCTTCTCTTCGCCGATGATGGATACTTATATATCTTTACTGGGGATGGTGGAATGGCAGGAGATCCATTTGGGAAATTCGGAAATGCACAGAACAAGTTAAGATGATTAGTCTGGAACTCAACTCTGATATTGTACAAGAAGCTGAATTCAGTTTGGTGCAAGGACAGATTGCCTATAATAATTGTTCTTCTCTTATCTGGATGTTACTGCTAGATCTGCCCTTTTGGGAAAGGTTCTGCGCATTGATGTAGATGACAACGAAAGGGGGCCACTGTATAGAATCCCACCGGACAATCCGTTTGTGCATGAACCCAATGCTCGTCCGGAGGTGTTTGCCTATGGGGTGAGGAACATGTGGAGGTGCTCGGTAGACAGAGGAGATCCGATAACCAAGGAAGGAAAAGGACGAATCTTTTGTGGGGACGTGGGCCAGAATAAGTATGAAGAAGTAGACATTGTGGAGAAGGGCCGGAATTATGGCTGGAGAGCAAAAGAGGGCTTCTCTTGTTACGACAAAAAACTCTGTGCCAACAGCTCTTTAGGTGGGAATACAGTTACTCGCAAAGTCAGTCCTTCAAATTCTTAATGTTTGGAATAAATGTAATTAATTGTGATTGGATGGATGGATGGATAAGTAAGTATCTTTTTCAACCCATGAAGTCTTTTACACTATGTACTTTTTTACTTCTAGATGATGTTCTTCCAATTTACGCATATCCACACAAAATGGGTAAATCTGTCACAGGTGGATATGTTTACAGAGGCTGTGAAAATCCCAATTTAAATGGCATGTACATATTTGGAGACTTCATGAGTGGGTACGTAATGACATATATGCACACACATACCGTTTGAAAGTCTTTTTTTATATTAATGCTTTTAGTCAGCAAGAAAAACTGATTGAAATTGATTGAAAGTGACAGTGAAGACATTTATGTTTCAAAAGATTTATATTTGAAATAAATGCTGTTCATTTGAACTCTTTCTATACATCAGAAAAAAAAATTCACGGTTTTAGCAGGGCAGCTGTTTTCAACATTGATATTAATAAGAAATGTTTATTGAGCACCAAATCCTCATATTAGAATGATTTGTGAAAGGATCATATGACACTGAAGACTGGAGTAATAATGCTGAAAATTCAACATTGCCATCACAGGAATAAATATACATCAAATAGAAAACAGTTATTTTATATTGTAATAATATTTTACAATATTATAGTTTTTGTAAGTCCAGCCTTGGTGAGCATAAAATACTTCATTCAAAAACATAAAACATTCTTATTGACCTTATAAAATTCTTATTGATTACTGTTATTGTTGTGATAATACCTGAGGTCTAAGTTCTTTTCAAAATTACTTAATACTTTTTAAAAATGACAAACATTCTTTTAAATGTATGAACTGTATGGATTTCCACAGACGCCTGATGAGTTTAAAGGAAAACAGAAACACACGTAATTGGGAATACAGTGAGATTTGCATGGGAGTGGGTCTGACTTGTTCATTTCCAGGGCTCATCAACAATTACTATCCGTACATCATTTCGTTTGCAGAGGATGAAGCAGGTGTGTACCCAGAAATGCCATATGTTCCTTTGTCACACTTTATATACTGCATAAAATAGTTATTATCTCCTCCTAGTGTACAAAATGATTTTTAGAGCTTTATAATAATTTGATAAATAGGTAATGTAACCTAACTTGGTTGTTTTTTGTTTTTATTTGTGACCAGGTGAACTCTATTTCATGTCTACTGAAATACCGAGTGCAACATCTCCTACAGGTGTTGTGTACAAGATTGTTGATCCCTCAAGGTATTAGGTATTTTTATCATTCATGAGGTAGTCTCATGGTGTGCAAAGATCAGCTTGTGTTGCCTCTTAACAGACTTTACTCTCAAAAGATGAAAAGGCTGTGTTGGCAGCAATATGTGCTGCTGTTATCTATCTCTCTCTCACTGACAATATTTTGATTTGTTCCTCCCTTTCTTATAAAAAAAAATCTGGGTTACAGTGAAACGCTTACAATGGAAACGAAAGGGACCAATCCGTAATGTTAAAATACTCCCTGTTTTAATGTAGCCACAAGATGTAAACAATATGCATAGTAACATGATTTAAGTCTAAAAATGTATTTACTAACCTTTTTCTGTGTAAAGCTACCTCCATTTTTACAACTACATTGTGACAACGTAACACCTAAAACAGCCGTAAAAATGGCGAGAACTATTTTACAGCTCAAATAATGAACACATTTTAACAGAATATAAGTGCTTTTTATACAATTCTAAGCTTCACATTTTTTTTATTAATC